AACCAAAAACTGCAAAAACAACTTTTTTACTCCTAAAACCAAAATCTTAACTTTTGTAAAAAAAGAGAGATTATAAAATTTCCCTTCCCTTTAAACCTGCCTGGAATAATATAAATGTAGTAGAAAGTATGATGTTAGGATTTATATACATTTTCATGTAATCATTTCTATTTACTTGATTTTGATATGCATGTTAAATTTACGTAATTACTTTTGTTCAACTGTAAAACTTGGCCGGATAACCATGGAGTTGGATTCTACTTGTTTTATTTCATCAAAGAAAAAATTGAAGATTTTTAAAAATGAATTTAACCACTTTACTTTTAGGTTACAATTCATTCACGTCTGAAGCATCCTGCGATACTAGAACTCATTGCTTATTTCGAGGTAATAATAAAGCAGGGGTATAATATTTGGACAAATAACACCCCCCTTCCGCACGGAGAAAGTGGAAAACTGTTTTCCAATAAAAATCAACGTATTGACATTAAAATCGGTAAATTTGGTATTTTTTCCCCAAAATTCGGCAGGAAAATACCTCTCGCGTTTAAACGATTAATTTGAGGGATATTCTCAAAGAGAATAGAATATATATTAGCGAGGAATTTACTAGAAAAAAGTGTAAAACGGCCATTTTGTTCCCTTTCAGGCTGAAAGGGACTGACAAAATTCATACCGAAGGATTGTCTAAATTCAGCTCTAATATATATTCTATTCTCTTTGGATATTCACCCTATCTGATTGTACTTAGAGGGGCAAATGCAACATTTTAAAAATTCACATTTTTCACACAGTCACCTGTGCTTTGTACTTTTAAAATTGATTTTAAAAAATTGTTGTGCCTGTGGGTAGGAAAAATATCTATGTCCTTAGTCTGTTTTTGATGTGTAGGGCCGGGTGTATGAAAGAAATCAAAAGGAAAATTAATATATCTATCATTCACAGTTTTGTATTTATACGTTAAAGGGAAAAAAAATAAAATCATTTAAAAAATAAAAAAAATAAAAAAAACTTTTAATTTGATTTTATTTCCCCTTAACGTTAAATTAGTGAAGGATAGATAATTGATTTTCCTTCCCCCACAGGACAAGAGGTCATCTTAATAATTGACTTTTTTAGATTTTGTTTTTAAAAAAATTTTAATTTAAAAAATACATTGTAAAAAAAAATTAATTTTCCTAACCTCCAGGAAAAAGTCTTCTTTACTAATGATTTTCCTTTCGCCACAGGACTTTTTGTCTTCTTTAAAATTTTCCTTCCCCACAGGATAAAAAGTCTTTATTTCAGATAATTCATTTTTCTTCCCAACAGGACAAAAAGTCTTTTTTTAAATTGATTTTTCTTCCCCATCAGGTCAAAAAGTATCTTTATCTGCCTAGCTTTGGATTAATTGTTGGGGTTTTAAAGGTCCAGTTAGAACAGGGGCGACGGTGCTTCCTGCTGCCTGGGCGGTCGGGGGGGTCCACATTGACTTACTTATGAATCCTTAAAATTGATATTCCTTCCCCAACCGGACTAAAAGTTTTCTTTATAATTGAATTTCCTTCCCTAACAGGACAAAAATTAATCTTTATAATTGATTTTCCTTCCCCATCAGGACAAAAATTTATCTTTATAATTGATTTTCCTTCCCTAACAGGATAAAAATTTATCTTTATAATTGATTTTCCTTCCCTAACAGGATAAAAATTTATCTTTATAATTGATTTTCCTTCCCTAACAGGATAAAAATTTATCTTTATAATTGATTTTCCTTCCCTAACAGGATAAAAATTTATCTTTACAATTGATTTTCCTTCCCCACAGTCCTCGTATTTTAGGACGCTGACTATGTATACCTTGTGCTTGAGCTTTGTGAGAAGGTAAATTATTTTGATCTTTCTAGGGAATGTAACTTTAACTTTAGAAAGAAGGGTTACTTCAAATTATATATTTAGTCACTTTAAGTCAAAAAGAAATGTGTTACTTTTCCAGGAACTTTTGAAGCAAACTTGTTCTCTCCAGATTCACCTTTATTCGTTATTTCTTATTCTTTATTCATCATTTCGTTCATATGTCATCATTCTATATTCATTTCATATTTCATATTTCATATTTCATATTTCATATTTCATATTTCATATTTCATATTTCATATTTCATATTTCATATTTCATATTTCATATTTCATATTTTAAAAATTTATTTTTATTTAAAGGTTGTCTCTGGGTTAATCTATCTTCACAGTCACGGTATTATGCACAGGTATCTTTCTTTTTTACTCTTATTTTTTACAGTGCTTAGGATCCGGATCCATTGGATCCGCAAGATTTTGGCTTCCTGGATCCGGATCCGGATCCGGATCCAAAGGGCAAAATATCATCAAAAACTGTAAAAACAAAAGTTTACTCTCAAAACCTAATTCTGAGCTATTGTAATAAGAGAGATTTTAAAAATTTTCTGATTTCTGAATCGTTCATCATTTATCAAGTTTTAGTATATAAATAAACGATCCGGATCCCCATCAAAATTTAATGGATTCTATGTACTGTAGGTGGTACGGAGTCAAAAGTATAGTAAATCATACATCATTAGTGGAATTCATCTATCTTTCTAACCAAAAATAAAACTTTCAACATTTCAAAACTATATTCTGTTAGAGTATGCTTTTATTAATATTTTTAAAAATTAAAATTAAAAATATTTTTATTAAAAGCAAATCTTCAGAATAAACAATTTTGAAAACATTTGCTTTTCTTACGTTATCTAAAATTTTGACCTTGAAACAAAATAAAGGCAAAGAACGAAGGAGAAGCGAACCAACCTAATTCACATCACTACATATATTTAACAAAGAATCCATCTATCTAACAAGCTATCTATCCATCTATCTATTCTAATAAACTATATCTAGGGATCTGACCCTGGCCAATCTAATGTTGACCCACGACATGAAAGTTAAGATTGGGGATTTTGGACTCGCAACACAGGTGATTAAAGTTGTATACAGTGGTCGTCGTATATATCAATACAATGAAGACGACTTTCGATTTAAATTTTGGATTTCTACCAAGCTTTCAAACAAGATGGATATAAAGCAAAGCTGTCAATTAACTGCTTCCAAAGAACTTGATAATATAAAGAGGAGGATTTATGCGCAAAACCAGACGCCTCAAATGGTTTAAATAAGGAAACATCCCTAATGCCGTATCTTCTATTATTCGACCATATTTGACTCCTTGTTTACTTGTAAACTTGTAATTTGAAAAAACCTTAAAAAGAAAAGTCTTCGTCATAATATTAAGGTAGCTGCCCAAGGAAGTTACGTGCACTTGCTGCGTTGAATTACAAGAAGAGAGAGTTTATTATAAATTTTAGGGTAAGGTTAGGTTAAGACACTTTTCGGGCCAAGCTCTGCGACTAGGAAAGGCTAGGGGACGAGTGCCGCGGCTAGAATATACTAGGCGGCCGAGCACTGCGGCTAGAACAGGCTCTCTGTCTTAAAATTCATTGCGGTATGTGCACTGTGCGTGCACGTAATTCCTTTGGTGTCTGCCTTATATTGATATAAACAATGAGCACTGTTCACTGTACAATGCAGAAGAAATAAAAACCGGTCAAACTTCATAACATAGAAGTCCCTTAGAGACTGTAAGCGTAATTTCAAGTCACCTTGCATGCAAAGTTGGCACTGCCCGATTCACAACGGTACCCTTGATAACTTTATCTGATCAATAACACGGAAAGTATTATCGTCTTTCTAGGTTTAAAAGTGTTTAGTTCTAATGATGTCTATGTGCTTTCCTGCAGTAGCACTTTTGTTAAGAAATCCCGATTGAAAATTATCCATGTTTCAAATTATACCACATTGATATCTAATTCAAACTTGATCAGTCAAAGCTTTTAAGGGTACCGTTGTGAATCCGGCTTCGTCATCTTTGCATTGATGGTCACTTAAGATTACGCTTACAAACCCTTCAAAGCCGATTTAGCTATGTTGTTTGAAACAAAACTTTGCTCTTTTATTTCTGATCCAGGCATTCTGCAATCCTATCGTATATTTTCAAACTTAACAGTAAAAAATCTCGCAGATTTTTTAAGCGATATATTCTGAGGCAAGATATATGAATTTGATATCAATAATTTGAAAACTATTTTCAACTGTGGTTTCTCTACAAAAGTGACTTGCGCATTTCTTCTTTGCAGGAAAAAAACAGAAAAGTTTTAAACCTAGAAAATCGACAATATCTTCCACATTATTGATTAGATAAAGGGTTCAAGGGTACCTTTTTAAATCGGGCATTGCCATCTTTGCATGGAGGGTCACTTTGAATAATGCTTACAGTTTTGGGATCATCGGTTCAGCCGTTTTGACGTTTTTGGAAACAAATAGACACGCTATATACCTTCGTAAACAGTGCTGAAGATCCATTGGATCCAAAACATTTCATTACACGGATCCACGGATCTGGGGGGTTCATTCCGGGGTCCTGTTCTTGATAATAGTTCTTAAGTGACAAAAAATTTACTAGATACTAAGGGGGGAAACTTCCTTTTACTTTTGAGCTCATATACTATAAAAATTAAATTAAAGTATTGATCGTGAAATATCTCCAACGTGAAATTTCCAGACCATCTTTGGACGTTAACCCGGTCAATACGGCACCCTGATATCGTTCCCCTCCTCTCAGGGGAATTCTACCAAATTAAAACTGGTTTCTAACTTTATACACAAAGAATGAAAAGCTAAAGCAACTGAAAATTTTTTCAAATTAGTTTTGAAGAAGTATTCATAAACCAGATCCATTTGTTCACAGGACGGATCCAGGATTGTGATATTGACTTATATAGATATTCTGTAGGTTAGCAATGCGCAGGACCGTCACGTGACCATGTGTGGCACCCCTAACTATATTAGGTAAATACACTTTTTGTAATTTTTTTGGAAAATAATTTTATTTTTTTATTTTATAGTTTCTTACAATGTAAAGAACGTTTTGTATTTTTGGTGACATCATTCAAAGACGGGGGGTGCAGCAGGGATATTTAATTTTTTTAAACTTTAATTTCTCTATTAAATTAAAATATGAAAAATGCATTTTTAGTTAATTAGATTTATCTCTTAACAACACTTACGCACCATTATTTTGTCAGTTTGGTCTCAATGAGATGCCTTTTTTTACAGTGTAATCTTAACAACACTTACGCACCATTATTTTGTCAGTTTGGTCTCAATGTAATATTATAGTGTAATATTTTCTTTAATTCTAATTACTGGCTTGTTAAATCCAAAATATATCAGGTTCTCGGGTTTTTGAAAATTTAGATTTTTATGTGATCCGTTAAGAAATCAATTTTGCAATTAATTGTGCTAATATTGATGTCATACTGATGTGGACTATTAAGGATAAATTGCAGTGATTGTGTTTGTGATTTTGCATTGATTTGTGCAAATGTTGAATTAGCAATGATTTGTGCTCATAATGATTTTGCATTCCTTTGTAAAGAATAATTTTTTTGGTATGAAACATTTTAGCGTCAAAAAATTAAAATCAATGGAAATTTAAACCCCCTTGGGATTCAATGATAAACCCTTGAGCTATCATCGAGTCCATCTCAAGGGTTTGAATTTCTATTGGATACATTTATGAATTTAACATTTATTTAGCCCTGAAGTTGCAACACGTTCCTCGCACGGTCTTGAAGCTGACATCTGGGGTCTAGGTAGGATTAATTTTTTTTACTTTTCTATGAAAGCTAACTTTTTTATTTTAAAGAATTACTATTTTTTTTGCCGGGGTTCGACTTTTTTTCCGTTACACAAAAATCAATTAAAGTTTTACACATCAAAAACAATATGCAAATCAAAATGTGATACAATTCTTACTCAGTATGATAAATATTTATCCAGTTCACTTTTAAACCTGTTCATTTTGTTGATCCTTGATAATAACAGACAAATTGTTCCATTTAGAGACAACTCTTAGCCAGAAAAAGTTTTTTCTAGTTTCTGACTTTGATTTGGAATAAACCAAATTCTAATGAAATTCAAACAATCTGGTAGCTTATAGAGCATTATCAGACAATCTGGTAGCTTATAGAGCATTATCAGATAATCTGGTAGCTTATAGAGCATTATCACTCAAAATATAATGTCGAGCCAAGTTGTATACTCGACATTGTCTTGTTAACAATCAAAACTTTAATAAAAAGTCGTCTTTATTGTATTGATACAATCGCCTACCGTACTTGGGCATAAATCATGACACGAGGAGCTACGCGGTCACAATTTGACATTTTTCTTCTGTCTAGCTTGCAGTGTGCTGGACTCAATATATGATTTTAAATAGTCTATTGATTGTTACAACTAATGGCTTTAAAACAGGATTAGCTGTGATGCCTGGCGTTGCCCGTGGAAAAAAAATTCGAATTGTTTTAACATATATAACCCTCAGGATACCAATGGGTTTCCTCAAAAAAATTCATTCCAATTGGTCAAGCGTTTGGGTAGCTAAAGCTTACACAAATGTATATTGGCATTAGCCCCTATGACGGTTAGGGCTTTCAGATCCTTTCCTTATTATGTCTGATCTTGTAGCGAAGAGATTTATTATTATATAGATTTAATACAAAAAATATTGTTTGAATGTCGTCTTCCTGCTTCACAGATATATTGGTCCCACTTTCTGTTGTAATTTAGGTTGTTTATTGTACACACTGCTGGTTGGTACTCCACCCTTTGATACTTCAGGAGTACGGTCTACCTTAACCAAGGTGATTAGATTTGATTTGATTTGATTTGATTTGATTTGATTTGATTTGATTTGATTTGATTTGATTTGATTTGATTTGATTTGATTTGATTTTTTGATTTGATTTGATTTGATTTGATTTGATTTGATTTGATTTGATTAGGTTGTAATGGCGGATTATCAGCTACCCTCCCATCTATCCCATGAAGCCGCTGATCTCATAGCCTCCATGCTCAGGTACAAAACTTGTATTCAGGGGTGTATATTATTCCCCCCTCTTTGAATTGTTTTCCCCCAGCAGATAAGATTACATGAAGCGCCAACATTTGTTACGGTATTATTCGCTTAATTTGGAAATGTTTGGATAAACACTGTACACTGTACTGGGTAAAAGGATGAAAATTATGAAAATAATTGTCTACATGATTTCCCTCCCTTGGAAATATGCACCCCTGAAATTGCTAAGTTTCATATTGCTAAACTTGAATACAAATGTTCAAAATTGCATTGAGAGGGAGAAAAAAGAACGATTTAAAAATCTGCCATGTACATGTACATGTAGTACATGTAAATGTTATAATACATGTAGTACATGTACATGTTATAATACATGTAGTACATGTACATTTATAGCGCAGGGGAGAGGACAGAAGGGGTAACGATGTGCATTTAAATGAGATAAATAGATAATATTCAGTTAATTAGATTGAGGTTGAGATCCGTTAAGTTATTTTGTTTGTTGACTTTATTTTCTTGCAGGGTCTAAATTTGACAGAATATTTATGAACAAAACGAACCAAAAAACGATTCAATGAAGAACGTGTTATAACGAGAGTTTTTCCTTAAAAGTTTGGCAACGTTTAATAAAAGCAAACTTTAACAGAAAGCAGTTTTGAAATCTTTGAAGTTTAATTAAAAGTTTTAAAAAAACAATTAACGACGACTGACAACACTATTTACATAAATTGTTTTGTCTGATCAAAAATGAATGAGCAATTCATGTTTTCCTCTTTGAAAGTTGATTATTTTCAATTGTGGTTTCTCTTTGTAAGAAACAATGGATGACTTAGTCAGACATGGCCACTTTATAACCTAGAAAAACGACATTATTTTCCACATTATTGATCAGATAAAGATATCATGGGTCCCGTTGTGATGTTAAACTCTAAAAAAAATGAAATAACAAGAAGAATATTATCTAGGAAGAATCCGAACGAGAGAGTTAAACTGAGAGATATTCCTAACCACCCTTGGTTTAGAATACATCAGGTTAGATAGATGGATACATCAATAGATGGATTGTCGGATATTATTATTATCTTTATTATTATTATTATTATTATTATCCCAGATGTCGAGTAGTAGCAGCAGACCTGGACCCAGGCCCTTACAGGTTAGACATTAGTTAATACTTCATCAACCATTTTATTAGTCAACGGTAGATATCTTACAGATATCGTTAATTCGTTAATTCGTTAATTCAAGAAACGGAATCACTTTGAAAGAACGAATGTAGAATTAATGTAGAACGGATGTAGAAAGAATGTAGAACGAATGTAGAACGGATTTAGAAAGAATGTAGAACAAATGTAGAACGAATGTAGAACGAATGTAGAACGAATGTAGAACGAATGTAGAACGAATGTAGAACGAATGTAGAACAAATGTAGAACGAATGTAGAACGAATGTAGAACGAATGTAGAATGAATGTAGAACAAATGTAGAATGAATGTAGAACGAATGTAGAATGAAATGTAGAACAAATGTAGAACAAATGTAGAACGAATGTAGAATGAATGTAGAATGAATGTAGAATGAATGTAGAACAAATGTAGAATGAATGTAGAACGGATGTAGAACAAATTATAGAACAAATGTAGAACAAATGTAGAAGGAATGTAGAACGGATGTAGAACAAATGTAGAACGAATGTAAAATGAATGTAGAATGGATGTAGAACGAATGTAGAACGAATGTAGAACAAATGTAGAATGAATGTAGAATGAATGTAGAACGAATGTAGAACGAATGTAGAACAAATGTAGAATGAATTTAGAACAAATGTAGAATGAATGTAGCATGAATGTAGAATGAATGTAGAATTAATGTAGAACAAATGTAGAATGAATGTAGAATGGATGTGGAACAAATTATATAAAGAATGCAGAACAAATGTAGATCAAATGTAGAAAGCATGTAGAATTAATGTAGAACAAATGTAGAACCAATTTAGAATGAATGTAGAACGGACATAGAACGAATGTAGAAAAAATGTAGAACAAATATAGAACAAATATAGAACAAATGTAGAACAAATGTAGGACAAATGTAGGACAAATGTAGAATTTACGTAGAATGAATGTAGAATGAATGTAGAATGAATTTAGAATGAATGTAGAATGAATGTAGAACGAATGTAGAATGAATGTAGAACGAATGTAGAACAAATGTAGAACAAATGTAGAACAAAATATTAGGCATTGGTTAATGGCACATAGTTAACAATCAACCATTGTTAACAATTAACCATCTTTAAGATCCTCATCATTTGTGAATGGTGAATATCTTAGGGGTGGATATCTGTTATCTTAGGGTTAGCAGACCCGTCATAATAAATAAGTAAATTATGCATGCAACTTGATAGCCCCTTAAAGATGAATATTTTAGGCGTTTCCTATGCGATCAGTTCCAGAGCACTCAGTGGAGAATGAGAAAGGTCAGTTAGCTGGTTAGAAAGGTTACTTGATTGATTGATATATTTTTCTTACCATTTTTTGCAGTTTCATGATTAGAAAACAGGCTTGTTAGTTTTTAAGTGTATTTTTTTGAGTGATTGATAAAATTTTTGTTTTTGAAATAATAAATTTAATTATTTAGTTAAAGCAGTTAGTCCTTACTGGTCTCTTGATAAATAATGACTGATTGTTTGATTTTATCCATTTTCTTTGCTATTTAGTGACTAAGATAATTTATTTCTGAGTTATTTGTAGGTCTTAAAACAAATTGAGATCATTTGATTGATTGATAAACATTTGACAGTAGGATAAATTAAACTTGTTATTGATTAAATTAATAAATAATTAGTGTTGGGCAGTTGATTTCGTTACATTTTCAAGATTTTTAAGGTTTCTGGACTTAAAACAGGTTCAACAAAATTTTGAGAAGTGTTACAAATTTTAAAACAGTTAATTCTAAATATTTGCTTTTCTTACATAATGAAAAAGGAAAGGAAGAGTAAAGAAGAAAAAAAATTCAACTTTGTAAAATTCCCTAAAATTTTGTGGAATCTGTTTTAAGTCCAACAATCCTAAAAGACTTTTTAAAAAAAGCAATATCAAATGCCAACACTAAATATTAAATAATATAGGATCTGCCCGTCAAATTAGATCAGAGCCTGTACTGAGCAATCCAAGGTCAGGCCACCAGTCCGAACCAATCAGATTTGATCTTGGCCAGCCAATATGGTCAACTCGGGACCACCTACCTTGCTCACCACCAGTCAGGATGCGATCAGATCCCCAGGAATACTTTCAGTCTTTAAATTTTCTAAATAGCTCGTCTTGAAATACATAATTTTTGCCCCCAACAAAACAATAACCCTTTATAGTTAAAAAAAGTGCCCCTTCACATAATTTTAAATAAAAAAAATTTTACATAAAATAAATTTTAAGATTTTCCATACGAAATATTGACCAAACTGAAAAGAATGCACCCAAATATAAAATTTTCCCCCAAAATATCCTGAATTGGTAAGGTAGTTTTTTCATGGTTGAGTATAATACACATTTTTCTTGGCCCCCTTCCCCCCCCCCCTCATAGAAATGTTTAGTGGGGAGGCAAAAAAAATGTTTGCACTACGCGAAATATTTGCCATTTGACCCCCTTTTACTAAAAATCTAGTTGCGTGCCTATATGGCTTATTTCATGTTGTTCTTGGTCTTTTTTCAATTATCTTGTCATCCATGTGTCATTTCCAGTTTTATTGCTTAAAACAAAACAAAAAGTTTTGCAGATTTTTTTATATTGGTTGGTTTTCACAATTTATGGGGTATTATTTTTTAAATTTCACATTTCTGATATTGAACAAAATTGGGTCAAATCAGAGAATATTCCACAAATTTTGACTTAAAGTGAAAAAAGGACCTTCCTGCTCCTCTGTTAGGCCTTAAAGCAAAAATGTCAAGTCTTCCAACTCTACCTCAACCCCTCTCCTCCCTTCCTCAATCATACAGGTAAAGATCTCAGAACTCTTAAATAGACCTAATGAATTATTTTTCTCCTCTCGAACAGGTTACCCTATCAGAGGTTAAGACTCAAGTATCCTAAACCCATGACTTCAATGCTCAGATGCTTCATTTTCCCCAAGACTGGTTCGCTCTTAAATGTTGAATGTTGAAGACCTCAATGGTGCCAGGAATGGTAAACTTACCCAAGTTTAAGGAGTTAAAGTTAAAGGCACTGTAAGCGTAATTTCAAGTGACCCTCTACGCAAAGATGGCAATGGCTGATTCACAGCAGTACCCTTGAAACCTTTACCTTATCAATAATGAGGAAGATAAAGTCATTTTTTTAGATTTAAAAGTGTTTAATTCTGATAATTCTGTATGTTTTCCTGGCATGGAAATGTGCTTTTGGAGAGAAACCTCAATTGAAAATAATCAGTTTCCATGATTATAAACATTGCTATCTAATTCATTCTTGATTAGACTATGCTTTCATGGGTACCTTAAATTGGGGATTGCCATCATTGCATGGGGGGTCACTTGAAACTATGGTTAAATTCCCTTAAACTTTAATTTAAAAAAGTTTTTGCATTGGATTTTAAGTGCTATCCTCTAAAATTGTTTTGCCCTCTGACTTAATGTTAACTCACTCTGTGATATTACCTTAAACCCTAAAATTTCATCTTATTTTATCAGCTTTACTTATAATTGCGATACTAATTTACAAACATTTTAATGAATGTCAAATATTTCCCTCATTTATTTGTTAATCTACAGGACAATCCTGAACTATCTAGTAAAGGGTGCATAAGAGTTTGTAGACTTTTTAGAAGTACATTTATTGCTTCTAATTGTAAATACATGATAAATAATGAGTTTTTAGAAGGAGAGGAAGTTGAGTAGGTCTTCTTTGGTTCCAGGATCTGACACTACTGATTTGCAAATTTTATAATCCTTGTTCAGGAATTGTACAGAAGTCCCCCCTAAGACTTGAGCATAGAGGGAGTCGAGACAAAAACTTTGTCCTTGAGAGTGTTTACGGAAAAGGAGTAGAAGAGTTCTGGTGATGATTGATCCTTATTCACAAATAGTTGTTTGTGAATTTCTGATCTGCCCCCTCCCCTCATCATGATCAACCTTGTGGAAGGTTGGCCAGTAGCCATTTGAAGAGATCAGTTGTAGTGAAGGCTATGCAGGCTATATTCAAACTGTAGAAAACTGGCATCCAGAATATCTACAAATAGGTTAAAAATGATAGCTAAGTTGCTTGATAGCTCGAGAAGAAGCTGAGGTTTAGCTCATTAGCTCCAGGTGCAGCTAATGTTTAGCTTATTAGCTCCAGGAGTAGCTGATTGTAGGATAAAGGAACAGTGAATTTGTGGATAAGAAGTTTAAGCTTGAGATTGTTATCCTCATTTAATTCTTGAGCTTTTTCCGACCAGGGGGCAGTGTTTTCAGCCATGAATCATTTGTTGTCTAGGGTCACCACTTTAGTAGTACATTTATTGCTTCTAATTGTAAATACATGAAAAATAACGAGTGTTTGAAAGGAGAGGAAGTTGAGTAGGTCTTCTCTGGTTCCAGATTCCAACACTACTGATTTGCAGATTTTACAATCCTTGATTTGGTATTTCTTTCTCTACAACTTAGCCATAAAAGTACAACCAGAAGCAATTCAGGACCTATATATTTTTCTATATTTGTAGTCTATAATCAATTTGATAGGAAAGAATTCAAACAATTAAGCAAAGACAACCATGGTCTCAATATTATCACTGCATATTTTAGGGATTCTGGAAGGCAGGAAACAAATTATCACTCTAGTCTTTCTCTACATAGACAATTCTCAGATCCTCAAAGGTAATCTACACCCTGTCCCATCCTGCCACACTCCTAGAAAATGTATGTACCTATCACATTGCAGGTCCCTTTGGACAGATAAAACATTATGGATAAAAAAGACATGATTACTAGAATCATTATATAAGAAAAAGGGGTGCAAATGCCCTGTCAGACAAGCGAATTTTCATATGNAAATAGGTTTACCTCTGACAAACACTGATCAAGCACTGATGGTTACCGAATACAGATTGCAATCTGGAACGCAGAAGCTGTTAGAGTTATAGTCATACCAACTCGGCATTTGATTGGTTATCAGTGGAATGTTTGACCCATGAGGGCCACATCTTAATCTAGAAATTGATGAGAGGGTTGGGGAAGTGGGGCCAGGAATGGGTGGGGGGGAGACCACTGTTCTTTAAAAGGATATTTAGCAGTACCAATGCGCAATAAAAGAATAACGCAATAGTGTAATAGTGCAAAATTTATATTCATAATGTAAACTTGTCCTGCAATAGATATTGCAAATCAATTAGCACAAATGACTGTATTGCGTGCAACCTTAATGCGTGCAATGCTATAATGATAGGAAACCATAATTACTAAGGCTTGAAGTGTAGAACCCCTATTTCAATAAATGCAGGGTTGTTTTAAAAGTGAAAAGTAGTCATTTGGCCGAACTCCTAATTTTTATTGAGTTCTGTACCTGAAATTTTACAATTGTGTTTTCTTTTTTTATCTATGGATGCGCATATGTACAGTATACATGATTTCAGTTCCCTGGAGGAAAGAACGCATTACAGTGAGCCTCATGACAATGGTTCAGGCCCTTCTAGATACAAGACTCAAACTTCATTACAGGTGTGTACTCTGCAGTAGCAATATGTTATTCAGTATATGCTTACAATTTTGACCCTCTTCAATTTTAGGAAAAGGCAAATTATTGAATTTTACACTGGAATGAATTGGATTTGATTTGGCTTAGATTGGATGGGATTGGGATTTGTGCAAGGCAAAATGTTACAGAAACATTTCCCCTTGCACAAACTCACCTTATTCAAACTCACCTTATTCAAACTCGCCTTGTTCAACTTGCCTTAAATGCCTTGCACACAATTTTCCTTACCACAACACGCCTTACTAACAACTCACCTTGAAACTCCCCTTTTTTCAAACAAATAATTTGAGGAATTTCAACTTATGTTTCCTAGACAGTAAAGATTTTTGTCCAATATTTCACGTTATGTTAGGTTAGGTCAATTTAAGAACTATTTCATTGACATATTTTTACCTTTAAAATTTATCAAGGAGAGTTTAACCTCTTATGTTATCAAGAGGTGCTGTAAGTTTGAATAAGGTGCGTTGTTAAAAGGTGAGTTTGTGCAAGGTGAAGTGTTACTGAGCCCTAGAAACACATAATAAACAAAATTATGGTACTCTGTGAATGTGTATTTTATTGACTGCAGGGTTGTCCTTTAATGATGATAATGAGAAGTCTTGGAATTAATGTAGTGCATTTGGAGAGTGGGGTTTACATTCAGTAATAATTGCAAACGGAAATAATTTAGGTTTTTCTTATAATCTGTACTATGACTTAGGAATATGCTTCTATAAACCGATCAGAGATCCATAATCACCCTTCTGATTCCCGACCACATTCATCTGCAGAAACAAATCATCTGAGCCACCAAGAAAGAAGCTTTAAAATGGGTCAAATCCAGTCTAGTCAAGGTCAAAATATGAACAATGGTTATGGTCAGAAAGATGAGCTGAAAAATTTTGGACAAAATGGGTTTGGTCAAAATATTCAAATGGCTGATAATCCTGCACGAGGGGGAAGAGTGCCAAGTAAGCGTATAGAGGATATTGTAGAACCTCTATCCTCTCTCCGCCTTCGTCCCACAAGACAGAAAACAAAGAATGCTGTGGCCAATATCCTCAGGGAAACAGCTGACATTATTATTTATTAAACTTTCAAACATTGTTTAGAATCCAGATCCACTGAATCTATAACGTTTTAGCTCCCTGGATCTGGATCTGCAAAAATATGCATTGATTCTAATCCTAGTGGAAAAATTATCAACTAAAACATTAGATGGGGAAATCAGGTTTAGGATTTGGACCAAGGGATCCAGGATCCGAATCAAAATGAAATGGATTCCAAGCACTGCTTTCACATCTTGATAAAGATAACCCAATGCTTATGGATTTTAAAACCTCAAAAGATAATTTTTGATCCATGTCAATGTTTCCTGTGTTAGTAATGGAGAAGTTTGCATGGAGTTCTTGAAAACAAAGAAAAGGAAAAAACTTAATTCAAGTTTAAACTGGTTAAACTAATTCTAAACTTCATTTTAAAACGTTAAAAAATTCGTCATTTCAGAAACATTTTTTAACATTTTGTTTTACAAGTGCTTTCCTAAAAATGGAAGATGACCTAAAGTCAAATCAACTTCTATTCAGGGGTAAAAATTTTAAAGAATTAGAAGTTTTTTCTTCCTTTATGATATTTCTGAATAAATTTGCTTAAAAACCATTTGTTTTCCTCAATTAAGTGCGAAGGATAAAAAAATTTATTAATAATAAAATGTAGAATAAAAATTATTACTGAAGAAGTGGGGAATAATTTCCATTTGTTGAATTATGTTTGGATCTAGTGAGGAGAGAGTGATTGATGTACTCCGTATATCTGGGGATGGGACTAGGATTGTTGTATATCATCCAGGTAAACAAGGAAAATCATCAACTGGCAAAATTGTCAACTGGAAAATGTCAACTTTCAAAATGGTAACTGACAAAATTTTTAACTGGCTAATTGTCACTCAGCAAAGTTTACCTGGCAAAATGGTTACCTGGAAACTTTGTCACATGGCATAGTGTCAACTTGCAAAGTGTTACCTGGAAACTTTGTCACATGGCAAAGTTGTCACTTGGCAAAAAGTTTCTTGGCAAGTTGATATATGGAAATCTTACACTGGTAACTCGCTGCTGGCAAAGTACCTAACATTCTATACAGGAATTTGTCCATGGAGGGCTCATATTTTTTTCTTTGGTACCTTGAACCCCCCATGGACACCATAGATTTCACTGGTTCATTGAATCCCATTAATTTGCCAGAATGACTTTTCTTCTCAACAAGATGAGGATAAGTGGTTATATATGTGAACAAAATGGCGGATCACTTCAAAATATTTCAATGACCCTTATAAAGACACATAATTAATGCAAAATTCTAAGGTGGAAAGGGTGGAGGGGGTGTACCAGTAACTAATAAACCTCCGGCTATTCCACCAGGTAAATCTAATTGATTTATTAATATTATTAATGTATGATTTGATTAATTGATTAATTAATTAATTAATTGAATACATAAAGCATTCTTTTTGCCGGTGATCTCTCATTACCTTTTGACAGAAATGATTTATTAGTTGGTGAAATTGATTGATTGATTAATCGATTTATTGATTAATTAATTGGTTGAATATTTGGTTAAGTAAATGATTGATTGATTGATTGATTGGTTGAATGATTGATTGATTGATCGATCTATTCCTTCTAAATATTAGGGGGTGCAGATGCTATTTATAGTTACAGTTCTCTTCCAGAAAAACTTTGGAAAAAATACCTTTATGCTGCCAGGTGAATGGGATTCTTCGAAACTTCTACTTTAGATTATTAGAAATTAGCCTCTTTAGAATAAAATTTGTTTGCTTTCAGAGGTAGAAAGAATGAAAAGTTTGGTCACAATGATAAAGGGTAGTGTTTTCCAACAGCAAATGTTTATGTTTGCCTTAAGTTTAAAAGATGCTTAAAAATGTCCTTTTTGCATAAAACATATTTCTTTTTCACACATTTTAAAACCAATTTTATTTTTTCAATATTAGTGGACAAAATATACAATATTCAATAATAAGTTGAAAGTTCATCAACAAAAAATACTTACAATCCACTTTCAACAATTTCTTAGAGAATTGGTGGGATATATTCCTAGGATGTTAGGTACTTTCCCAAGTGGCAACTTCCCAAGGGTATTTTCCCAAGTGGCAACTTCCCAAGGGTATTTTCCCAGCAGCAACTTCCCAAGTCTGTCCTATCCGCAGTGCTTGGCCCCCAGCCTGTTCTAACCGCGGCGCTCGGCCATATAGCCCATCCTAGCTGCAGCGCTTAGCCCCCATTTCAGCCTGCAGCACCTCAGAGAAGTTGGGAAGTTGCCACTTGGAAAATTATC